TGTTACTTGTTTGGTTAACTTCCGATTTTAGTAAAGAGTCCACTCTGGCGTTTTGCCATAGTACTGTCGTCGGGTGAGCTGGCCGCCGGGCCAAGCCAGTAGCCCCAATCCCTTCTGTATGTTGATAAGACATTTCATGGAGTACACGAATTAGTTAAACAATTTGATTTTTTAAATAGCGTTTAAATGAGGACATACTACTAGATCTCCTAATACTGCGATAGGCATTTACACTTTGTTCTTATGTAGATAACGCCGTTTACAAAGCATGTTCATCCTAAGAGCACTCAAAGGGAAGAGGGTGGTTTTGGCTGAAGCCTATAAATTCCTCCGCAGCGAAAAACAACTAACAAAATTTTTTGTTTGCCAAATGTTAGAAAGTAGGTCAGCACTATCTCTGATCTCGTAGAGGAGGTATACAGTGGCTGTAGGTATTGAGGAACATTTAACTCCAATCAGATAATTACTGCAGTACGGTAATCATTTGTTTACCTCTTGGTTTTGGCAACAGGCCACTTAGGAGCGCCGTCATTGTGCCTCTAGGTCATGTCATTTGCCCCAAAACCTTTCTGCACAGCGTCAAAATGTGTATAGCCTGAGCATTATGGCCTCTTTCATTTCAGAAAGCTACAATTACTTAACTTGAATAAATTAGCTTTTAATCAACTTAGTGAAAAGGCAAAGCAGCGCCGAATGTAACAAATTTTACCGCTCCTAGAACACCGCATGCGCTCATGAACCGGTACATTGGTAATTTGCTTAATGTCAACGCAGTATGAAGACTATTTATTTAACGTATGTGCCACGGGCTGACGCCTTCTCAGAGGACCTATATTTTCATCTTTTTCAGGGGTCTGTTACGCTTCCGAGAAAGGACTTCAAAGATTTTAATCAAATCAGATACAGTGTAGAAAGAAATACAGTAGTGGCAAGAATGGGCGCACTTCACGTGAATAAGCCATGATTCATTAAAAACCAAATTTCTTTGTGGAACAGGAACAGAAATCCAAAATAGTTCCTTTCATTGATAAATACCAACAACTAAATGAGGATATGCATCTAAATTAACCGATTTTACGATGAGATTTGCCAATCTGAACTTTAACCTGATCCGTGTGTCTGAAGAAAGTACAAATGATTTACCTAACTACTTAAAAGTATGGTTTCTAAGTTTGCACAAATCTAATTTATCTTACGGATGTTTTGTATTTAAGGCACCGCTTTCGAGACAGCATAGCTAATTCAGATGTTTTCCACTGTTACAGCACTGATGTAGGCAGAAGGTTATAAGTCAAAAGTTTGAGGAAGAGGCCCACACACTCGCTCACGATAACTTAAACAGTTATAAGAATCAAAACCGGCACTATCGCCAAAAATATCAGAAGTCCAAGGTTTCAACGGAGATTATCCTGAAAGTTTTAGAATCTGCAAAAAAACAGTACATAGAAATCTCCTTTTTCGCCATACATGGACGAAAAGGAGCTATAATGGAACGGATGACTCCGAAGTGCGAGCTAAAGTTCGAGCAGTGAATGTGGCACAATTTTAGGGAGTATGTTCATCAAACTATTGTCATCCTAATGAAATACCACTTCATGCCACTGTGGCCATCACATTTTCCATAACGGCATTCGGATCTGGATCTCATTTTTTAGGAAACGCCAGTGATACAACCTCCTTATTTAAATGGGAGCCTCACTACTTCGGAACGATCACTCAGTACCGCTGTCCCACCGTTTCCATTAGTCATAGACGAGGCGCTAGAGCTGTTGATAGCAATTTTGCTATTTTGGAAGCCACCCTAACGTCGTATATAGCGTTTTTTGTCACATTTTTTTCGTAACTCAGTCCACGCCGCGGAACTGACTGAGTCATAACACGCCTAAATACGAGTCACAAATGAAAACTGCACCTGCTTGTAAAAGCCGTATTTTACTCCTATCTTCCATTACTGCTCGACTAACTACTATGCATTGGCATTCTCAATGCGATTTCACCACGTTGCTTGAACTTCAAATTATTAGTACTTGATCAGGCGTCGATTTGCCATTAAAACATTGATAGTGAAGGGTGTGTGCAGAGGGAACTAACCATTTGATTCTTTGCTACACATAAAAAACACTTTCTTTATGTATGAATATAAGGTGAGAAAAAACAAAGATCAACATTTTCTAAACAGAAATGGCCATAAATTATTTAGCTTTGGCAGTTTAACAAATGGATCCTTGCCTCTGATGGTTTAGCCAATCAGGTGCCAGAAAAGGCGCTGACTCACGCTCACCGCACGTGGTACGGTTAAAATGTGGAAACATTGCGCTCGATTAATCGGTAATCGATAATCAGCATTTAAGATCTATAAAAATCATATTTGCTGGCCATTTTCAAGACCTGATTTCAATACTTGTTTGGAGTAACCGAAGGAAACAAATAGTGTCAAGCGTCAAAGGTAAAATTTATGAAAAGCCGGACTATGTATAGTCATGCGCGAAGGTGGTAAATGAATCACCAACGTACGTTTAACTACGCTACGCACGGTGTAAATAGCCCGTCGCCAACGGTAGCATATAATCCACTTGCGAGCGCGTTCTACCATCTTGGAGAGATTGGCCGGATCCATTCGAAGAATCTCGTCAAATTCCGCAAATTTGCCAGCCCGGAAGAAGACTTTCGAAACACCGAACTTGTAGTCATTGTCATTCATTCCCATCGCGTGGAATAGAGCCTGGAAAAAGAAACGAGGCAAAGTACGGGTGATCACGGTGACACCCTGGGACATCAGCTCATAATATGGCTATTTTCAGACTTCCAGATCTTACAAAACGAATGAGAGCACAAAATTAAGTTATTTTTGTAGTGGAACATTATGACATGTGACAAAGTATGGGTCAGCTTCATTTGCATAACTTGCAAATGTGTAAAACAATTCCTACTTGTGGTTCATGAAGGAAAAAACTCAAAGAGCCACGTGTTGAGGATTGCAAGGGGGACCTAGAATTATTTGCATCTACAAACAACAATAAAGTAGTTCCATTGTATTGTGTTTGGAAACTGAAAAAAATGACTGGCCTTCTTAAGAGAAAATAGGAGGTGAAAGAAGCAAACACAACTGTGATATTTTTGGTAACGACTAATTAGTTGACAAGGAAGCAAATTCTGCCTTTGACTGGAAGGCTACCAAATCCATAATAGCATCACCAATGAACTATGCGTAAATAAAAGACCTCAGGGAAGCCGGAACCATGTCTAGCTAGGAGAGCCTCACCTTGAAGAACATCCGAGGCTCCAGGCGACGCAACTTCTGCGGCAGAATGGGCTTGTAAGCAGAGTAGAGGTCGCCAAATTGGGTCCTCGACGGATAGCCCTGTTGCATTAGCATTAGCACATCGGTGAGGCCGAAGAAGCGCAGCTGTAGGAGGCAGGGACCGCCCTCGAATTCGTGATCTGCCATGTTGGAATTCGGTTTCACACAGCGAATGAAGTTGGTACCCTAGTGGGGACAGTCGGATAGGCCGGAAATAAGGAAAAATTAGGTGAAATGAAATAATAATAACAAGTCGCTGCCAAATCTGCAACTGTGTGGAAGCATGTACCACGTGTGCCTCAAAATTTTCACACCGAGTGATGGAATGCGTAGAGATAACATCCCGCATGGAATTTAATGGGCATTATTCAAAATTATCACTTTTTTGGTCTTTAACTCACTTATCTAAGGAGTAGACTGCACATTCACATCAGCAATAAGACTTACTGAGGATCGCAGTTTCGTGATGAGGTCGTTGATTTGACCCTTGAATTTGCTTCCCACACTTATGAAGTTTATTTTGCCAGCAATGTTCGACTGCGACTTCTTCAGTGTCCACGTCTTGACTTCTTTGGGCTAAAGTAAGAAGTGGAATTCAGTAAAATCTCCTCAATCGCTCTTCAGCCTTCATGACGTAAAAGTCGCTGATTTCTATACTACTACAAAGATTCGGGGAGATAGTCAAGAGATTCGTCGAACTATCAGCAGTATCAGAAGGAGCTAAGGAGTGTCTAGAGCAGTGACAACCAATGGAGCCTCACGTTATGCATCTTACGCAGAAAATCGTTTGAGCTGGAGTGCAGAAGTTCTTCAAGCGAATGATGAAGAGCGTCGTTGTTCTTGGCTATGAATTCCGTAGTTGTGTAGCAGACAGATCCAGCAAAGTGCCTCAGCAGGAAACCTTCACTATCTCGAAGGTTCTTGAACTTCTTGTCTCTTCTGGGAACCTGAAATAGTAGGACGTGATAAGACTATCCTTGTCATTCCACCAGGATAGTGCGTGCATGACCGACATTAAGCATCCCATTAGCAGGGTGCATTCTTTCGCTGCTGTTCCACAATTAACTTCTGTCTATGTGAAACAGCTAGTCGATACACACAAAAACAGTAGAAAGAAAAGCAGTTGGCGGGAAATGTCAAAATCAGTAAGCATAGCAGTGAAGAAGTCAAAGATACGGCATTGACTTCTGAAAACAAATTTTGAACTCGAATCCTATCTAAGTCAGTTTTCCGTGTGTTACGTGGCTTCTGCAGTTGGAGAGTTTCAAAAGACCTCCAGTTCATCCCAGCTGGACGACTTGGGTGGAAAACCTGAGAGACGAGAAAGAAAAACGTCAACTTACTGTAAGACGTGGATTGTTGCCATGGGATCGATGAACTTCGTTGGTGAAGTGTTCACTGTTGGAGTTTGGAAGACGGCTTTCTTCGTCCAATAGAGCCAGAATACCAAAATCCTTGGATTCGATAAGATCTGGAGTGTCAAAAGTACACATCGTGAAATATTCTTGCAAGTGATCTATCAAGTGGCAGTGGTGAAGGTTCAGACAATACATAATCTA